ATTGAAGAAAAAAACTAAGTTTATTTAGATTTGAAAAGAAAAAAATAAATAACATATAGATTTGTTAGATAAAACTTTGTAAAACCTGATTAATCAGTGTAACTTTGTTTGGAATTATTGGTTTTTTAGCCCCTATAACCCCTATTCATCTAGAAAATTTAAAAACAAGGAGATTAAATGATATGAACTATATGGTAAATGGACTTGACAATTTTATTGACGAAAAATTTTAATTTCCGATTAATTTGGTTTAAGTTTAATAAATCTGGTAATAATCTGGTAGAGAAACCTAATACCTTGCACCTGAGAGATAATAAGTCTCAACTAAAATCATATACAATATCTTTGGCTTAACATAAAACGATTTAGATAGCCATTATTTGATTTATTTGTATAGGAAATAAATAGTTCATTAACCATAAAATCTAGCTTCGTTTCATAAACCTTTTTTAAGTGCCTTTACCAGATTTTCTTTCCCCTTTCCCCTTGCAGTACGAACTCAAGCTATTTCTCATTTATCTTGAACATATTTGGGAATCCCCAGAGTAAGGTGACCTTACATAAAATAGCCCGCATATCTTCATTTAGTCAGAATGAATCAGCATTTTTGTGCAACTTGTCATTCAAATTCCATAGAAACTTCGAAACAGACACAAACAAACAAGCCGACAATAAATATTTACAAAATGTATTTGTTTGTTGAGGGTGATATCAATACCAGATTGATGTCAAGGATATTGTCGAATTTGCGGAAGTGAATCACTAAAAAGAGCGAACTTTAAATGGTTTTAAGGGGAAAGTTGGGAGGGAAGATGATCTAAAACATGTACGATCATATTTCATTTTATTTATTGCTCATTTAAGCAAATTAAATTGCTTAAATAGCATTTTATACTTGCTTTTCATGTTTTTTCTTACAATTTTAGCATAATCCTCTTTGAATTCCAAATTCCAAGTTTGAGACGACAAGCTAAGCGTCACGTAGACCTCCCCAAAAAACCAAAAACCCCAAAAAAAAAATCTAAGTAAATCTTTGAGCTTTGCCCCTGAGGCTCGTTTGCCCCTCTCCCTCTTTCACTTGCTCTCTCTCTCCCTCTTTCCTGGCATACAGTGCGTATGAGTAATATAACATCACTCATACGCACCGTATGCCACACTTCATTATAATCATCATGATCATCACGTGAGTCGTGACTCAATTTGTTTAAGCTCGACTCTCGCATAGGTGAAAATAAAAGCTCAAAAAAGCTAAAACCAAATTCCAAAGCAACGCTTTGAAATAATAATCAACATTTAATATAATGAGTAATTTGTTTTCTCCTCTATACATTGATTCTGTTTTGTGCCAAGATCTGATTCATGCGAAATGAAACGACCTTGCCAATGGTTTCAAGCTTACATTGGAATGCAAATTCATCATCAAAGAGTTGAAAATGAGGGAAGTTATTACCAGAATATTCGGAGAATTAGTATTTCTGACAGGTTGATTTATGGATTTTGTGAAATTTCGGTAACTTTGGTGATCAAACTTGATTTTATCTCACAATTATGAGATGGGAAAAGCATTAGGAAAGTCTTTGGTTCTTAAATTAAAATTATAAGGTTAATAAAATTAATTTAAAATGTATTTATAATTATACAAAATCGAACTTTTAAATTATATATTTCATTCGCTTAAACACATTTTAAAATTGACTTTAAAGCCATAGCAATTTCTTTGACAACCTTGCCTTTTGTTACTCCCCAAACAAAGGGTATATTTTCTGTATAAAAACGAAAAATACAAACAAAGCCATAGCGTAAATAAGTCAACTGGCTTACTGCATTAATTGTAATTTAATTAATTTACGCTATTCGCTTCTGTTTCCCTCTTTTCTGGCTCTGCCTTAATTAAGCGCGTCAATCATACGCCCCGTGGAACGACAACAAAAAAAGCCAAATAGAGAATAGTGGCGGGAATGTGGCAGAGGCTGAGGATGATTATGATCATAGCGAGCGAGCTGCCACATTTAAGTGTCGCCCTGTCAAAATAACCAGCAACAAAAAAAAAGCGGCAGCAGCAGCAAAAAAAGAATTCGCACAATTATTGCGCTTGTCAGGAGTGAGATTTGGGGGAGCAAAAAAAGGAGGCAGGACAGAAGAGTACCGACTTGGTCGACGTCAGTCATTTTAGCGCCCATTGCATTCACATTTTGGCCAACTTTCAGGCTCAGAAAAGTCCCAGAAATTCCTTCTTAATCTACTTTAAATACTCTAACAGGAGATATATACTTACTTGCTCCAGAATCCATGGAAATATTGATGGAAGAGTACTGAATAATTAGTAGATTAAGCTTCTTGATTTTTACATTAAATAATCCTAATTACTTGCTACAAACGTACATGAAAATGTTGTTGGAAAAGTAATAAACAAATTAGTAGATTAAGCTTCTTAGTTAAGTTAAGAAATTAGAAAATTAATAAGATTCAAATCTTTGTTTAAAAAGATTAAAATATATACAAAATAATTACTGTAATAACCAGCACTGACCTCGAAACTAATACAATCCCTAAAATAGCAAATATAATCATTAAATTTGATATCTTAAATATCAAATAGAACTTACTCCGCTAGGGTATATCACAAATTGGTTCCTTTTTGTCTTTTCTTATTATTTTTTCCCCCATTTCTGCGCTGATTACATCTCCCCATCGTGTCCAGTTGCCTGTAATTATTTTCTGCAGCTCTCTGGCCCCGTTCCCCTCAATCTCTGGGGCTCTCCCTCTTCATTATGCATATAATGTAATTAAAAAAGTGGAAGAATAAGAAGCGGTTCCTACACCGGGTGGTCCTCAGCTCAGAGCTAAAGGTGCTCCACAGTTGGGACTCTGTTTCACGCTCAACTGGTTTGAGTGAGTCTCGGAGGACTGCATCTGCATTAAAAAAAGAAGATACTATACACAATACTATAGTTAAATGCAAATCGAATTGATGAACTCACTTGTTTCTCAGTGATTTAACATATTTTGTTCACTTCATTTTCCGTTACCTGGGAAAAAGAAATTTATACCTCACTTTAAGCACGAATAAAGTAAACAATTAATCACATAACCAAATGAAAACTGACATGAAAGAAACCCAAAATAAGAAAAAAAGACAAGTAGATACAGTAACAACAAGAGTAATGGCCATGATGACCACTTGAAGTCCGGGTTCTAAACCGGCTTCGGGAGCCGCAGTGTTGTCAAAAAAGATGACAACATTAATTTGACTCACGTTGTGATGGCAACCTACCAGAGGCACCACCAGAAGTCGAGGGTCACAACCACCTTCCCGGAATACCTCCCAAAATCCCGGGCTAACAAATGATTAAGTTTGTGGGGCTACACGAAAAACAGAGTGAGATATATCATCCAAACATCCTTTGAAGTGGTTGGTTGTCACCGTACAAAATTAAGATGTCACATTCCGCAGGAAAAATGTGTGGGTTTCCCGAGGAAAAGGTAAAATGGAATGCTTCCCATGAAAATAGTTGAAATTTGACAAGTGAAACCTTAAGACTAACAAGACCAATGTGCTGGGAAATGATTTCTACAGGTGCTAGGATTAGTTAATTCTAAAAATTTGACATTAAATCTTAAAGAAAATATTTAAAAAGATTAGCCGAAGCGTTTATTACATTCTTGTTTTTTCAATTTAGTTATTAAAATAGACGGTTTTGGTCACATTATAATCTTAAACATATTTTAACTCGAAAGGAAGCACCCTTGCAGATTGAAATTTGATCAATAGAAATTATGGGAGCTATATATATGTATATAAATATATAGTCCACCGATTCGCCATGCTCCGACTTTTATGGTAGTAAAATATTTCATTCAAATAGCTCGTCGGAATGTCTCCATCTCTTCGTGGCAAACTTATTACTAAAAAAATTATAATACCCTGCAAGGGTATTAAAAATATAGCCTGATATATGTATCACTTAGCAGCCTTCCTAATGCGCAATAGAATACCTATTTTATCAGAATAAATAAATCGCTAGACCCAAAACACAACACCAACCACAAAAGCTGAGCTTCAATCCCAAGCCCCCAAACCACACACAAAATAGCAAATTGTTTTCGCTTTCCTTCCCCGCTCTGCTCAAATGCAAATTAATTAGACAATAAAGTGTAATTGAGGCAGCACATTAACCAAAAGAATGAGACTGAAATATCTAGAAAACCGAAGAACGAAGAAAAAAACATGGAATGTTGCATTCTGATAAGCCTACAAGGCCAAGCCACAAAAAAGCCCAGGCTAAGCCCAAAGCCAAGGTCATCGGGGAATGAACTTCGTGTGTAAATAGAAACAAATTAACTTTCTTTTCTAGTAAACTCTAGTATTTTATATAGAATTTTTTACAAATTGTAGTAATTCTATTTCTACTTAAAGGTATAATACCTAGCTGGGTTTTATAATTTCAGTCAGAAGCTTGAAACACTTTGAAGGAATCATTTCTGAACCTATAAATTATATATATTCTTGATCAGCATTAACAGCTGAATCGATCTAGCCATGTCTAGTTGATATAACATATAAATATAATATGGGAAAGGTTTCCGAATTAAAGTTAATGCATTTTTAGCCATAATTGTTTATAAACAAATCAATAAATATCGAATATGAATGTTTTAAGCTAAGTTAAAATCGATTTCCGATTTGATCCTATAATTCATTTGGAAACTGTATGGGTAAAAAATCTTCGGCTTCTCGAAATTAGGTTCTTGTTGGTAATTAAATTTCTTGAAGACCAAGGAGCTAAATATGCAAAAGAAAGCTTGCTTACATTTTTTATAATATTATATTTATCTAAGAATAGATATTTAACTCAAATAGTGTCTAAATATAACCACAAAATGTGTATTTTATTATTTTAGTATTTATTTTGAGTTCCATATTGTAAAGTAAATGCTATAACTTATAATCGTTCTTTGAACTTTTAACTAATTTCAAACTCACTTTCAATCCTTCACAGGCTTAGCCCAAGTGACTTACCAGATCATTGGGCCTCAGGGACATCAAATCCAGCGACCTCAACCAGCAGCACTGGTGGTAGCGCCGGCAGCAACATCAGCCACCTCAGCAGCAGCAGCAGCAGCAACAGCAACAGCAGCACCACCAACGGGGGCAGCAGCAGCACTGGCAACAACAAGTACAACAACAGCGGCAACATATCGGTCTGCAATCTGCCGCGTTCATCGCCGGCCGCTGCCACAGCAGCCGTTACTTTGTCATCGGCCGCCGGCGGCATTGGCAGCCATTTGCTGAGCGGCGGATTGCATCACGGACTGGCGCCCGGCACGCATCCGTTGCAGCGCGCGACGGCAGCGAGCGGAGGCGGCGGGGCTGGTGCTGGGGGCGTGGCAGGCGCCTCAACAGCAGCGGCACTTACGGCCCTCCAGCAGCAACAGCAGCAACTGGCCTACCAGCAACATCAACAGAAGCACCAGCAACACCAGCAGCAGCAACACCAGCAACAGCAGCAGCAACTGGTCAATCTCGGATCGCTGCAACAACACCATTCGATTCACAACAAGGCAGCGGCCGCTGCCGCACAAACTGTGAACATTGCAGCAGCGCTGCAGCGATCGGCCGCCAATATGAATGCGGTGGCATCGCCGATCTCAGCCAACTCTGCCAACTCAGCGACGTCCGGACGGAAGATACGACGCAAGACGGATTCAAAGGTCAATCTGGTGAGTATGAAACATAAAGATTGGAGAAGAAAAGAAAATTCAATTGAATATATTGAATAAATTGAGTATTAAGTATTGAATTAAACAATCAATTCAATCAATTGAACTTCAAATCAAGAAATGAAGTTAACAGGAGTGCCCTAGAAAGTAGGCAATGAAAAAGGTTTTCCTAATACAATTTCAAATCATTAATTTTAAAATATTGCTATTGCATTTCTAATCTATATAAAATATCGTATTACTTGGCACAAATTCATTTATTTTAATATTTCAATTGATTTTTTTCACACTTAAAACAATTGAAAATATTTAAAAAAGCTTAGATACCTTTCAGATTAAAATTTTTTAAATAAATTAAATTAAAATTTTTCGATTCTTCCTATGGCAGCTATATATATGTACATATATATATAGTCATCCGATTCGCAGTGCTCCGACTTGTATATTAGTCAAATTATATAGAAGAATAACTCCATAGTTTCATTCAAATAGCTTAAATTAGATTCAAAACAAATCTCGCACATCTGTGCATATGATTCCCAACTCGTTCTCACATCCCCGGAACGAAGTGCCTTCTGCCGGCTATTTCTCAGAAATGTGTTGTGTTACAAAGTTGCAAGTCATTGTTTATTAGTGTTCAAAGTTAGTTACTGATCATACATACTTACTGGTCAAAGATAATTACTGGTCATAGATACTTACTGTTCTGAGTTACTTACTGCTCATACTTACTTAATGTTCATAGAAACTTACTGATCATAGTTAATTACTGGTAATACCTAATTACTGATCATAGTTCTATAAATCGTCCGATTCTTCCCATATCATCCATATATATGTATATATAGTCCACCGTTTCGCAATGCTCCGAATTATATACTAGTAAAATTATATAGAAGATTAAATCCATAGTTTCATTCAAATAGCTTAAATTAGATTCAAAACAAATCTCGCACATCTGTGCATATAATTCCCAACTCGTTCTAACATCCTCGGAACGAAGAGTCTTCTGCCGGCCAAGTCTCAGAAATGTGTTGTGTTACAAAGTTGCAAGTCATTGTTTATTAGTGTTCAAAGTTAGTTACTGATCATACATACTTACTGGTCAAAGATAATTACTGGTCATAGATACTTACTGTTCTGAGTTACTTACTGCTCATACTTACTTAATGTTCATAGAAACTTACTGATCATAGTTAATTACTGGTAATAGCTAATTACTGATCATAGTTCTATAAATCGTCCGATTGTTCCTATGTCAGCCATATATATGTATATATATAGTCCACCGATTCGCCACGCTCCGAATTATATACTAGTAAAATTATATAGAAAAATAACTCAATAGTTTCATTCAAATAGCTTAAATTAGATTCAAAACAAATCTCGCACATCTGTGCATATAATTCCCAACTCGTTCTAACATCCTCGGAACGAAGAGTCTTCTGCCGGCCAAGTCTCAGAAATGTGTTGTGTTACAAAGTTGCAAGTCATTGTTTATTAGTGTTCAAAGTTAGTTACTGATCATACATACTTACTGGTCAAAGATAATTACTGGTCATAGATACTTACTGTTCTGAGTTACTTACTGCTCATAGTTACTTAATGTTCATAGAGACTTACTGATCATAGTTAATTACTGGTCATACCTAATTACTGATCATAGTTCTATAAATTTTCAGATTGTTCCTATGGTATATATATATATATATATATATATATATATATATATATATATATGTATATACTCCACCGATTCGCCATGCTCCGACTTGTATACTAGTAAAATTATATAGAAGAATAACTCCATAGTTTCATTCAAATAGCTTAAATTAGATTCAAAACAAATCTCGCACATCTGTGCATATAATTCCCAACTCGTTCTAACATCCTCGGAACGAAGAGTCTTCTGCCGGCCAAGTCTCAGAAATGTGTTGTGTTACAAAGTTGCAAGTCATTGTTTATTAGTGTTCAAAGTTAGTTACTGATCATACATACTTACTGGTCAAAGATAATTACTGGTCATAGATACTTACTGTTCTGAGTTACTTACTGCTCATAGTTACTTAATGTTCATAGAGACTTACTGATCATAGTTAATTACTGGTCATACCTAATTACTGATCATAGTTCTATAAATTTTCAGATTGTTCCTATGGTATATATATATATATATATATATATATATATATATATATGTATATACTCCACCGATTCGCCATGCTCCGACTTGTATACTAGTAAAATTATATAGAAGAATAACTCCATAGTTTCATTCAAATAGCTTAAATTAGATTCAAAACAAATCTCGCACATCTGTGCATATGATTCCCAACTCGTTCTCACATCCCCGGAACGAAGTGCCTTCTGCCGGCTATTTCTCAGAAATGTGTTGTGTTATTAGTGTTCAAAGTTAGTAACTGATTATACATACTTACTGGTCAAAGATACTTACTGGTCAAAGATAATTACTGGGCATAGATACTTACTGTTCAGAGTTACTTACGGCTCATAGTTACTTAATGTTCATAGAGACTTACTGATCATAGTTAATTACTGGTCATACCTAATAACTGATCATAGTTCTATAAATCGTCCGATTCTTCCCATATCATCCATATATATGTATATATAGTCCACCGTTTCGCAATGCTCCGAATTATATACTAGTAAAATTATATAGAAGATTAAATCCATAGTTTCATTCAAATAGCTTAAATTAGATTCAAAACAAATCTCGCACATCTGTGCATATAATTCCCAACTCGTTCTAACATCCTCGGAACGAAGAGTCTTCTGCCGGCCAAGTCTCAGAAATGTGTTGTGTTACAAAGTTGCAAGTCATTGTTTATTAGTGTTCAAAGTTAGTTACTGATCATACATACTTACTGGTCAAAGATAATTACTGGTCATAGATACTTACTGTTCTGAGTTACTTACTGCTCATACTTACTTAATGTTCATAGAAACTTACTGATCATAGTTAATTACTGGTAATAGCTAATTACTGATCATAGTTCTATAAATCGTCCGATTGTTCCTATGTCAGCCATATATATGTATATATATAGTCCACCGATTCGCCACGCTCCGAATTATATACTAGTAAAATTATATAGAAAAATAACTCAATAGTTTCATTCAAATAGCTTAAATTAGATTCAAAACAAATCTCGCACATCTGTGCATATAATTCCCAACTCGTTCTAACATCCTCGGAACGAAGAGTCTTCTGCCGGCCAAGTCTCAGAAATGTGTTGTGTTACAAAGTTGCAAGTCATTGTTTATTAGTGTTCAAAGTTAGTTACTGATCATACATACTTACTGGTCAAAGATAATTACTGGTCATAGATACTTACTGTTCTGAGTTACTTACTGCTCATAGTTACTTAATGTTCATAGAGACTTACTGATCATAGTTAATTACTGGTCATACCTAATTACTGATCATAGTTCTATAAATTTTCAGATTGTTCCTATGGTATATATATATATATATATATATATATATATATATATGTATATACTCCACCGATTCGCCATGCTCCGACTTGTATACTAGTAAAATTATATAGAAGAATAACTCCATAGTTTCATTCAAATAGCTTAAATTAGATTCAAAACAAATCTCGCACATCTGTGCATATAATTCCCAACTCGTTCTAACATCCTCGGAACGAAGAGTCTTCTGCCGGCCAAGTCTCAGAAATGTGTTGTGTTACAAAGTTGCAAGTCATTGTTTATTAGTGTTCAAAGTTAGTTACTGATCATACATACTTACTGGTCAAAGATAATTACTGGTCATAGATACTTACTGTTCTGAGTTACTTACTGCTCATAGTTACTTAATGTTCATAGAGACTTACTGATCATAGTTAATTACTGGTCATACCTAATTACTGATCATAGTTCTATAAATTTTCAGATTGTTCCTATGGTATATATATATATATATATATATATATATATATATATATGTATATACTCCACCGATTCGCCATGCTCCGACTTGTATACTAGTAAAATTATATAGAAGAATAACTCCATAGTTTCATTCAAATAGCTTAAATTAGATTCAAAACAAATCTCGCACATCTGTGCATATGATTCCCAACTCGTTCTCACATCCCCGGAACGAAGTGCCTTCTGCCGGCTATTTCTCAGAAATGTGTTGTGTTATTAGTGTTCAAAGTTAGTAACTGATTATACATACTTACTGGTCAAAGATACTTACTGGTCAAAGATAATTACTGGGCATAGATACTTACTGTTCAGAGTTACTTACGGCTCATAGTTACTTAATGTTCATAGAGACTTACTGATCATAGTTAATTACTGGTCATACCTAATAACTGATCATAGTTCTATAAATCGTCCGATTCTTCCCATATCATCCATATATATGTATATATAGTCCACCGTTTCGCAATGCTCCGAATTATATACTAGTAAAATTATATAGAAGATTAAATCCATAGTTTCATTCAAATAGCTTAAATTAGATTCAAAACAAATCTCGCACATCTGTGCATATAATTCCCAACTCGTTCTAACATCCTCGGAACGAAGAGTCTTCTGCCGGCCAAGTCTCAGAAATGTGTTGTTACAAAGTTGCAAGTCATTGTTTATTAGTGTTCAAAGTTAGTAACTGATCATACATACTTACTGGTCAAAGATAATTACTGGTCATAGATACTTACTGTTCTGAGTTACTTACTGCTCATACTTACTTAATGTTCATAGAAACTTACTGATCATAGTTAATTACTGGTAATACCTAATTACTGATCATAGTTCTATAAATCGTCCGATTGTTCCTATGTCAGCCATATATATGTATATATATAGTCCACCGATTCGCCATGCTCTGAATTATATACTAGTAAAATTATATAGAAAAATAACTCCATAGTTTCATTCAAATAGCTTAAATTAGATTCAAAACAAATCTCGCACATCTGTGCATATAATTCCCAACTCGTTCTAACATCCCCGGAACGAAGTGTCTTCTGCCGGCCAAGTCTCAGAAATGTGTTGTGTTACAAAGTTGCAAGTCATTGTTTATTAGTGTTCAAAGTTAGTTACTGATTATACATACTTACTGGTTAAAGGTAATCACTGGTCATAGATACTTACTGTTCTAAGTTACTTACTGCTCATACTTACTTAATGTTCATAGAAACTTACTGATCATAGTTAATTACTGGTAATACCTAATTACTGATCATAGTTCTATAAATCGTCCGATTGTTCCTATGTCAGCCATATATATGTATATATATAGTCCACCGATTCGCCATGCTCCGAATTATATACTAGTAAAATTATATAGAAAAATAACTCCATAGTTTCATTCAAATAGCTTAAATTAGATTCAAAACAAATCTCGCACATCTGTGCATATAATTCCCAACTCGTTCTAACATCCCCGGAACGAAGTGTCTTCTGCCGGCCAAGTCTCAGAAATGTGTTGTGTTACAAAGTTGCAAGTCATTGTTTATTAGTGTTCAAAGTTAGTTACTGATCATACATACTTACTGGTCAAAGATAATTACTGGTCAAAGATAATCACTGGTCATAGATACTTACTGTTCAGAGTTACTTACTGCTCATAGTTACTTAATGTTCATAGAGACTTATTCATCATAGTTAATTACTGGTCATACCTAATAACTGATCATAGTTCTATAAATCGGCCGATTGTTCCTATGTCAGCCATATATATGTATATATATAGTCCACCGATTCGCCATGCTCCGACTTGTATACTAGTAAAATTATATAGAAGAATAACTCCATAGTTTCATTCAAATAGCTTAAATTAGATTGAAAACAAATCTCGCACATCTGTGCATATGATTCCCAACTCGTTCTAACATCCCCGGAACGAAGTGTCTTCTGCCAGCCAAGTCTCAGAAATGTGTTGTTACAAAGTTGCAAGTCATTGTTTATTAGTGTTCAAAGTTAGTTACTGATCATACTTACTTACTGGTCAAAGATAATTACTGGGTATAGATACTTACTGATCATGGTTAAATACTGATCATAGTAACTTTCTGTTGAAAGATACGTATTGATCCTCTACATTTAAAAACCGTTTCTCAGGCAGTTAAATTATATAGTGTGTGCCTAATTTGAGACAACATTCTATAAAAACATGATGAATGCTCAATGTTTAATGATCGTAACCAATTTTATAGTTTCTTAATATTTTACAACATAACTTTGCATTGATTAAGTAAGCAAAGTGGCAAAATGAGTATCAACATTTTTATAAAGATGAAAAAGCAAAGATATGCAGATTGAACATTAGCCATGCTAAAACACAACCTTAATCAAAGCCAAATTGAGAGCTCATACATATGTCATATCATATCATAGCCAATTTATATATATAGCGAATAAAATTTGATAATTTTAATTAATTATTTGCAGCCTCAATCACAAATCAACAAATGCAACAATGAGAAAAGACGTCGCGAGGCAGAGAATGGCTACATCGAGCAGTTGTCGGAGATATTGACGCTGAATAAGCGCGGGGATATGACCTCAACGAAACCGGACAAGGCTGCTATACTAAACCAAGTGGTTCGAACGGTAAGTAATGAATATATATATATATTATAGATCTATATACCACCCACTGAAACCCTTAGATTGAGACTTAATTACCACCGAATAGACCAGACCCCAAAGCATAAACTCATCAAACAAAACTTATAATAAAATTGTAATAAAACCGAAACACTTTCAACTACGAAAAGCAATACAAGTTGTTATAACACCCTGGGAATGACTGAACTGAACTGAACTAATGGACTTGGCCAGTTGGTTATACTGGCCTGTCCGGAATACCAAATGATCAATTACAAAATAAAAGAAAACACAAGCCAGCGAAATTCCCCAATGTAATTTTCATGCAGTTCCACGCATTTTCAGTAGGTCTTCTTATTTTAACTATTTTTTGTATGACACTGAAAGAAATATAAGCATTTTAGTACAAGAAATACATTTAAAATGATTCACTTTTGTAATGATTTTAATTTTATATTAATCAATAATAATCAGTAATCATATTATAATTGCTTTTGCGTGATTAAGGAAGAGAATGAAATTTTTAATATTGCAGGAAAAAATGTATGTGGTTTCGAGATAGATATTAGACTAGGGCTAGTTAAAGCTACAAAACTATTATTTTAAATTATGGAAAATCTTAACTATTGTCTGGTTTATTTTTTGCTCAAGTTACCTGTGTTTCAGCAAAGATCAGATAGAGAAATTCTCATTTTTCTTTGACTTGCAATATCCATTTCAATGAATTTAATATAAATAATTATAAATTGGTATCCCTGCTATTTTCTCGCTGTGTAGGATAAAGCCAAAAACACGTTCCAATTAAAAAGCAATTAAAAGCTCAGCCAAAAAAGAGCTTAAAAGAATTCGCAAAGCGGCAGACCAGAGCCAAAAATTTTACAGAAACCAAAGAGAAGAAGAGTTGGTTGGCTGACGTAATTTGGCCCCCGCCACTCAGCACTCATTTAATTAATATTTTTATTTAATTTACATAAATTTATTTATGTTTCAATAGCCCCCACCCCCCTCCCCCTTGAACCGACCCGTTGCCGACCTGGCCAGCGGCTTTATGTTGTTTTAGGCGGCTTTATAATTATATTATTGTTGTTATTGCCGTATTTCTTTTATTGGTTTCAGGTAGCCTAAGCACTTTATTATGCAAATTATTTTCGGGCCAAGCGCCACGCTTTGTCGAACATCATTCCCAAAGCCAACAACGTTAACCAAAAAACCCAAAAAAAAAAAAGACAAATACCAACAAATGGCTTTTTAAATGAAATGCCGCGAAACACACAAAATACATAATTTTATTTTGTAATCCAAGCGGGCAAAAACGAAACAAGCCATCATCCATCGGGTTGGAGCTGGGGGAAAAGTGTTCAATAAAATGCAATTAAAGGCTACAACAACCAGCCCTCACATGAGTTCCGCACATAATAAACAAATTGAATTAAATGCTTTTCGTGTCGTGTTAGTTTTTCCCCTAATGAGAAAAGCCAAGCCCAGGGATCGAACGTAGCTCATTTCCCGCCCTAATCCAATTGATGCAGACCCCCATGAAAATGTTATTATTCACTAAGCAAAACACAATTCAATTAGTTTGGTGACACCAATGAAAAAATTAGAGAAAAATAGAGAAAAAAATAGAAAAAGTATAAATTCCAAACGGAAAGGCCCCGGCGAGATTCGAACTCACGATCTCCTGTTTACTAGACAGGCGCTTTAACCAACTAAGCCACGGCGCCAGTTGTCGTCGTTGCTTCCGTTTTTTCTACTTCTACCTTACGCCTCATTCTCCGGCACACCTCACGGCATTATCTCTGAATGATTGCTGATTGGCGGAGGTGTACGGGTCTATTTTCGGAAGCGTCTTGGTTGGAGATAGCTTGAAATAGTTTGTATAAATTGGCTAGCAAACAAAATGAATAAGAAGGGAGTCTAGTCTTGGATTTTGTTATAAAACAACCATTTAAATTTTAAATTATTCATTTCTAAAATATAAAAAAAAATGTATTAAAATATATAAGTAGATAATTTATTTATTTCCTGAATATCTAGGCTATTTGTATAAAGGGGAACTTAAGAAATAGCTAATGCTTATACCCTTTCAAGCTACTATAATTTCTGTCAGAAGCAAGCTAAATTGTCAAAAATTTTAAAACATTTTTAAAACATATTTGTTAACCTAATAAAAACTAACACAGAACAGTTTTCCGATTGAAAATTAAAGAACTTTTGTCTGAGTTACTATTGATTTTCACGTAAAGAGTATTCGAATTTACATGGGTTTCCCGAAGTTAGCTTTCTTGTGTATTTACATATTTAATAGCAAATTTTTATGGATAAGAATTAATGATAAGTTATCAATAATTTCTAATCTTGATGAATTTTGAGTCATTATTATTCAAAAGAAATAAAACAAAGTACACTTGTTTTTAAGTAAAAAGCACTTATAAAGACGAAGTTATTTGATGTGTACTTTTACTTCGTTGGCCCATTTCAAATATTAATTATTCCCTAAATATCTGTAAATATCTTTTAATAACTGTTGTTTTGATAGCAAAATTGCTAAAATGAAATGACTGCAAATTAAAGTCTATAATGCAGGGAAACTATAATAATAATAATAATTGTAATTATTATGGGGGAACCCCACAACCGATGGATTTTACCCTATTTTTTTTCTTTTATCAAGCTAACTAATTTATTTTTTTTTTTTTTTTTTTTTCTTTATTATTTATTTACAATCTGTCTAATTAACAATAGGTAAATTTTATGAGGAGTGTTAAGCTAACAGAAATAGCAGTTCTCCAGTGAGCTCTGCTATTATATATTTTACATATTTACAGTAGTTTATTATCTGTCGGGGAGATCGAGAATGTGGTATCTTTTCAGTCTTCTTACTGTTAAACTATTGTCCACTAGATTTAAGGCTAAATTGTTTTCATGGTTATGGAGTCTGTCGATGTATTTTTTACTGATTTTATTTATTTCTTCTTTTATGGTTGGGATGTTGAGGTCTTTGTGGATGTTTGCATTAGTTACGTAGAAGGGAGCATTGACAATTTGTCTCAAAGTTTTGGATTGGTAACGCTGAAGAATTTCAATATTTGATTTGCTAGCAGTTCCCCAGAGCTGTAAAGCGTAGGTCCAAACAGGCTTTAGTATGGCTTTGTAGAGGCGGATTTTGTTTTCCAGAGAGGTTTCTGATTTGCGACTTAACAACCAGGACATTTTTAGTGTTTTAAGTCTGAGCTGCTGACACTTTGCTTTGATGTGATTTTTCCATGTTAATCTGCGGTCGAGATGCATCCCGAGGTACTTCACACATGTAGTTTGTGGAATTGGTGAGCCGTTAAGTGCAACATTAGGGCAGCTGCCTGGTCTTAATGAAAAAGTGATTTGGACGGATTTTAGGGAGTTGATTTTAATTTTCCATCGAAGAAACCAGTCTTCAATTAAGCTTAGCTCACGCTGCAGGAGTTCAGACGCTTCATTTTTGGATGTGCTTGTAGCCAAAACGGCTGTATCATCAGCATATGTTGCTACAGTGCATGTGTTTGTACCTGGCATGTCAGCCGTGTATAGGGTGTACAGAATTGGCCCCAGTACGCTTCCTTGTGGGACGCCTGCGTTAATGCAGTTTAGCGTTGATGAGTCGCTTTTCTGCTGCACGTAAAAGCATCTTTTAGTCAGATATGACTTGATTAATAGATAGTATGGGGCAGGTAGCCATTTCTTTATCTTGTACAATAAACCATTGTGCCAGACTCGATCGAACGCTTGTTGTACATCAAGAAACGCAGCAGTGCAGTATTTTTTGTTTTCAAATGCAGAGACTATATCATTAATGACCCTGTGACATTGCTCAGGTGTCCCGTGACCTCTCCTGAATCCAAATTGATATTCAGGAATGATGGAAAGCTCGTCCAAAATTGGCAACATTCTCTTCAATAGTATTTTTTCAAATACTTTCGAGAATATTGTCAACAGACTAATGGGACGGTATGAGGTCAGTTCTGTTTCTGTTTTGAGTGGCTTTAGGATCATAATGATCTCTGCGCATTTCCATTGACTTGGAAAGTGATCTAGTCTGAGAATTGCATTATATATGAGAGTGAGAAGTCGAATGCATTTTGGTGGTAAAGTTTTTAGGGTGATGCCGTCTATTTTGTCAGGGCCTGGTGTTTTTTTGTTGTTCAAGCATTTGATTTCTGTCACAACTTCTTCATACTTAATGCTTTTGATAGGCAAGCTCATTTGACAGGGTGACTCAAGAAAGTTTTCGATTTCAGTCTCTGTTATTGGGTTATTGATGTCGTTTGGCTGAAACACGGAATGCAGATGTTGGGCAAATGCTTCCGCTTGTTCTTTATCAGACCTGCACCATCTTCCATTGCCTTTACGAATGTTTACGTTTCTTTTAGTTGGTCTCTTTAGGTATTTGGTCGCCCTCCATAGGTTGTGTTCGTTGTTGCAGGAGTTTGGGTCAAGGTTTCTCAAATACGCAGCTAGAGATTCATTGCGTAAGTTCGACAGCAGTTGTCTAAGCTCAGATGCAGCCTTGTTGTATAATCTTTTATCAGCAGGGTAGTGAGTTTCTTGCCAGCGTTTTCGCAGATTTCTTTTATTTTGTATTTTTTGTCGAAGTTCGGTTGAAAGGTACAATTGATTTGGTTGTTGAAGATTAGGAGCATGATTCGTGTTTCTATAGCTCGCTTTATGAATTGTATTTGTGAAAAGCTCCACAGCATAGTCTATCTCTTCTCCTGTTTTTAACGAAATGTCCAGGCTTACAGCTGAGTCCAAATAGCTTTTAAATGCGTTAATGTCTGTAGAGGCTGTAATGACTTTATAGGGCTTTTCCAGCATATGGGCTATTGTGCTGTATGTTGCTATTATTGGAGAATGATCTGAGTTAAGGTCGAAGTTTTCCATTACACGCATGTGTGATTGTGGAATTCCAGAGAATATTACGAAGTCCATTAGATCTGGAATTTTTTGATTATCTGTTGGCCAGTATGTAGGCTTTCCAGTTGACAATGTGGTAATATTATTGTTTCGTATGCATTTGTATAGCTCCGATCCTTTCGGGTTTGTCAGTCTGGATCCCCACCATGGATGTTTGGCATTGAAGTCGCCTCCCACAATGAACTTTGTTCCCAGTCTTTCGAAAAAGTTTTTAAAATCCGGTTCTTTTATTGAGAATCTTGGTGGGAGATAAATCGCTGTTACTGATACGTCAGCATGCATACATTTTATCTCAATTGTCGCAGCCTGTATGGCATTTTCTCTAGTACTGTCCATGATTTTAAATTTAAGGCCGCGGTTGACAATAATTGCGGCACCTCCATGAGAACTAATTTATAAGATTTTTCTGATATTATTTTAAATTTCAAAATTATTTCATTATTTTATTTTCATATTTAATGTTTTGCTAGGGTCCTTATTAACCAAGACATTCCGAAAATATCCAAAGATAGCATATTCCAGATAATCTAAAGATCTTTAACTGAAAAAACGTCTCTAGAAAAATCCTTTTTAATTCTGACACAATTATTTTTAAATTGCTTATTTTATAACTCAATCCCTTTTTAATATAGAAGTAATTATCATAAGGTCACTGGTGTTGACAAACCCCCTTTTTTTGTGCGACGCTGTCTGGGCAACAGCTGCTTCTGGTCTTTTATCTTGCCCCGGACTTTACCTGATGCTATCACTCTTTTTTGGATGAATCTGTGGGCCAAAGCCCGCCAAAAATTCAACAGATAGAGATACATTCGCAGCGAGCGAGAAATGTGGTGAACGAAGAGAGAGGAGGAGGAGGAGATAGAGAGACAGACACGTTTTGGACATTTTCGCCGTTGCACGCGCTGCGATCTTTTGTGTTTGTTGTAGCGGCTACCGTTGCTCTCATTCTTGTTGTTGTTGTTGTTGCTCTGTTTACTTTATCATTTGACTGATATTTTGTCGGAGTGCCTTCACCCCGAAATTCATGCGCTCGGGAGCAACTTTTCCTGGTCGCACACACGCACACACAAAAAGCAAGCTTCCTTCCAATTTCAATTCCAAATAAAATTGTATAAAAGCTCTCTCTCTTGTTTTTTTGGAGATCAACGAACTGCTTTGAAATGCTTTTTGGACGATGACGTCGCAGCTCTTTTGCAATTTCACATAGTTGTGATTGCGTTTCATTTCTACGTTCATATATTGTTCTCCTGCATCTCCCCCGCACACAGATGCTGCATACAAGGTGCAAAATGTGATAACACACACACACACACTCATGGGACACGGGAACATTCTCTCACCTTACAAGCCGGTAAACAAAAACCGGAGACGACAAGGCGCACACACACATACACAGATAGGGAGAGAGTGCGAGAGCAAAGCTTCTTTGGCTTTTTCGGTGGAGAGAACGAAGCTCCCGCCATTGTTGTTGTTGCTTTCTCTGTTGTTGTGCGTTTTTTTTTTAAACCCAATTGCATTCAAAAAATGTGTTGCTTAGTATTTCGGCAACTTTGTGACTGTGCGAACGTTCTGTATTTCGGCATTTCGTTATTTTTTCTGTGATTTTGTTCCGTGAGTAATCCCTGCTTTTGGCCCAAATTGAGTCACATTCCCCCCAAGTCTAGGCTCTGACTGATAAGCCGCGGAAAAAGCTGAAAGCAGCAAAAGAGAGAGAGAGAGAACGAAAGTTAGTGGAGAATATGAAGGAGCAACGGGCTAAAACCAAAACAAAGTGAAATGCCATTGACATTTGTCCACGCGAAGTTGAAGTTGACTGACCTTGAATTCCCATGCGAGAGCGACAGAGAGAGAGCGAGTGCAGTGGCAGCGAGGGGCAGGAGTGGGCGGCAAAGGTGTGCAGTGTGTGTGTGCGTGTGTGAAAAGCCCAAAAGGAAAAGGAAACCCAATAATAACAATAATATTTGAATATGGCCAGCACTTTTCGCGTGTGTGTTTGTTTTATTTTATTTTCCTTCTTTATTTTTCGCGAATGTCAATGACTTTAATTCAAACGCGCGCGTAATTTTTTTTTTGCGAGGCATAGTAAAAAAATAAAACACTGGCATAGAACACACACACGTTTCACGCGAGTGATCAAATTGCGATTTTTTTGCAGGGGCGTACGCCTGATTTCATCACAGGGGGATTTACATACACTTGAAACACTTGAAATCATCGTGATTAATGAGTGTTCTAAGAAATGGCCCTTATCTTAAAGCTCACAAAAATTAAGCAATAAAAAAAAAACAATAAAGAGATTGATTTTATATTAAAAATCATTGTGCTATAAAAAATAGTTTATTTAGAGAACCGAAATAGGAAACAATCATACAAAATTATTTGATATATTTGACATTGGTATAAGCTAACTATTCTAAAATAAATTTACATAAAATTTAATCTACAAGTAAACAAAATCATAGTTGTAAAAATATCCATTGCTTGAAAAGGAACAAGAAAAATACTTGGGAATTCTAAATCAAATGAGAACAAGTTTAAGATAAATCGTGTTATAACAATATTTATTTTGTATCTTTATTATATGTAGAGTAACATTTTATACAATATTAAGAAACAAGAATGGAAGGTATCTTCGGGAAACTAAAATTTCTATATCCTCGCCAAGAATATCCATCCATGATCTGACTGAAATTATAATACCCTGCCAAAGTATATTACAATTATTCTAATCAAAAAAGTGAATAAAGTTCAAAAGTAAATACAATTAAATACTGAAATATAATCAATTGTTTTTGGAACAAAATCCCCATAACATACGACACTGTTTTATTTGCACTTCCATTGTGTCAAAACAATATAGCTTATGCCAGAGATATATACTTGTATTCCTGTATTCTTTTCTCTTTTTTCCCGACTTATTTACGAGTACTACTCCCTGCGTATAAAGTGTGCCGATCTTTGCGATATAATAATTATTATTACTGCCTCCAGTGTGTGTCATAATATGGCATGAGTTTCGCACGGAAAAGCTTCCGCATCATTGCAAAATAAATAATACTGCAGCTTTAAATGCCGCCAATAAAGTGGGCGCGATATGAATGAAGTTTTATATATTTCGTTGTTAAGATCCCCCAGATGTGAGATGCGATGTGAGATGATAATGGGGATGAGTCTCTAAAAGGATTGTCACGAAAATGAATTTAAGATCAAGGCATGAGTGTGTGTTGTGTACGAGGAGGTGTCATAAATCCTATATTATAATGTTATATATATAAGGAAAAGTGGGAAATTATAATGTTTATATAAGTACAAGTTCAAAATCTATATAATTTTACATACATTTTTTACATCATTTATTGTAAAATCTTAAAAAAACTAAAAAACTTTCTTTTCTAACAAAATTCCTTTCCCTTTTTCATATTCCTTTCAGTATCGTGAGATTTGTGACAAGGGCCAAAACCGTGATATATCCTCAACGTCGACGAACAATAATAATAACAACAACAACAACTCCACGACAACGACCAACAACAACAATACGAATAACAGCAACAATAACAATAATAATAATAACAATAGCAACAACAGCAACAACAACAACAACAACAGTAACAACAAACCGCAAGCAACCTCAACACGCTGCAGCCGCTGTGCCACAGACAACTGCTCGATCCATCCGGTGCAACAGGGTGAAGTATCATCCACAGAGCCACCGCTACCAGAGCCATCGCTGCTCCTTGGCCAGGTGCCCGAAATATCCGCATATTTCGAGGCACTCGAACATTACATCAGCGGCGTCGGCTGGGTGCTGCTCCAGGTGAACGCCAACGGCATCATTGAGTCCTGCACACAGAATATACGCGAGCTGATCGGCTATGAGAAGCAGGAGCTGTATCACCAGCCGCTCTACATGTACCTCTATAAGGGGGATCACGCCAAGCTAGAGCCGATCATTAACAACATGTACAGCAATCCCAATGGCGGCAGCACTAGCTCCTCCTCTGGCCAATCTGGACCAGCTGGTGGCAGTGGCGGCGGTGGATCTGGTCCAAGTGTGGGCGTTTGGGGCGATCTCGATGAGCTGAACAATGGCAATGCGTCGCAACAGTCGGCGGGCTCTAATTCCAATTCCGGCGGAATTGGTGGTGGAGCTGGTGGCCCTGCAGTGGGCAAGTCGAAGCGCAGCATCTCCACCAAGGTGCGTATGCTAGTCAAGGACACTCGCACGGCCACCCAGACGTCATCGTCGTCGAACTGCGAGGATCAGAAGCCGCTGCGGCAGTCCGGACAGCAGGACAAGTACGAGGAGGTGGTCCTCATAGCGGCCCCCGTCAAGGGTGAGTAGAAAAAGAAGGTTCTAAAGCAAAAAGTTCACATACTAATCTCTCTCCCACGCCCCCTTGCAGATGATGCGGACGCCAGCAGCTCTGTGCTGTGCCTGATCACCCGACCGGAGGACGAGTCACCGCTGGAGATCAATATACAGCAGCATGTCCAGCAGCAGCCCATCGAGCAGATGACCTTCAAGCTGGACATTTATGGCAAAATACTCGACCTCGATCACACGGCGCTGCGGGAACCCTTCCAGCAGCACCTGCAGACGTGGGTGGGGCGCCTCTGGCAGGATCTGTGTCATCCACACGACCTCTCCACGCTCAAGTCGCATCTGCGCGATATTCAGGACTCGGCCAGTGCCCATTCGCCGGGCGCGGGAGCTGGCTCCCATATGGTTTCGCGTCCATTTCGCTTGCGCTTGGGAGCCCCGACGTCTACGTTCATGTGAAGGCCAGTTCGAGACTGTTCCTCAACCAGACGCCCGGCGAGGGTGACTTCATCATGTCTGTGCAAACGCTGCTCAACTCGGAGAACGACATGAACAGCAACAACACGGGAGCGGGCAACAGCAACAGCGGCGGCGGCGGACTGGGATTGGGCCAGCTCTGCGCCATGTCGCCGGGTCCATCGCTGGCCAGCTCGCTGCTCAGTAACCTATCGATGGACGGCCTCCATGGAGTAGCGGGCCCCGGCTCGGGGGGCTCCTCGTCCTCGCCGGCGGCAGTCACTGGCGTGCTGCCCACCCATCTGCTGGGCGGACTTGTGGGCGGCGGCCAGCAAGGCGGTGGCGGTAATAGCACACAGACCACAAGCGTGGGCGGACCGCTGATGAGCAGCGCAATCATCAACGGCAGCGGTCTCCAACAGCAGCAGCAGCAACAGCAGCAGCAGCGTTCCGGAGCCAGTTCGTCGACCAATGCGCTGGTGAACGCGTTCACCGCCTCGCCGGCTCCCGGAGAGCACAGCTTCTATGGCAGCGACACGTTTGAATTCGATATTGCAGCACATTCCTCATTCGACATGGATCCCAGCGGTGGCGTGGGAGCCTGGACGGATTCGCGGCCCAATTCGCGGGCCTCGGTGGCCACGCCAGTTAGCACACCGCGTCCTCCCTCTGGCCATGGCTTTAGTCCGGCTGTCTGCGCCTCGCCAGCCACGCCCTATCAGCTATCCTCGCACTCTGCCGCCAGCCTGCCGTCGCCGCAGTCGAATGCCAGCGCCGGTGGCAACTACGGTTTCAACTTCCACTCCTTCGATGCGGGCGATGTAAAACCCGAGAAGGATGTCCAGCAGCAGCAGCAGCAGGGCGGTAGCAATAATAGCAGCGGAAGCAGTAACAACAATGCTTTAATAGGCGGTGGCCTGCCCAATGGAGGATTGCTTTTATCCCAGCAGCAGCAGCAGACGCCACCGCAGCAGCAGCAGCAGCAACAACAGGAGCCCTCGGAACGATTGCGCCACCTGCTGACCAAGACGCAGGGCAGTCTGGGAGGAGGCCTAGGTGATGAAGAAAAGGTAAGTGGCAACACTTTCTTTATTTGAATTCCTAATAATAACACCATTTTTCCTTTCAGTACTTCAAGCCAGAGGGTAGTGACGATGAGAAGCTCGGCGGCGGTAGCTTTAAGATGGGCGGCCAGCCCGGAGGTTTGGGAATGTTTGGACCCATGGGTCCGATAGGACGTGGCGGCCCCAGCTCTAGTTCCATGCTGCACAAGGCTGGCAATTCGCAGAATCCCATGTTGCTCAAGGTGAGTAGGATATTGCTTGAAACCAGGAACTCCTTACTAACTAAGTTTTATGTCTTAATTGACAGCTGCTCAACGAGAAGACCGAGGACGATGATGGCAACGGTGGCGGTGGCTCAGGCTCTATGAACAACTCCCGCCAGAGCGAATTGATGCGACAGCTGAAGAATCCCGACGGCGGCAGCCATGGCATGCATCGGGGCAATGCCGGCGGTAACATGAGCACCGAGGATCTCAAGGCCATGCTTAAGATTCAGAGCGATCCGTCGCTAAACCGCAAGCGTTCGCTCAACGAGCCGGATGATGATCCTTCCGCCAAGCGGTCAGAGGACAAGCCCAGCAAGCTGTGCACGCAGAACAAGATGCTGGCCAAGCTATTGCAGAATCCGCCAAAGACACCCAAACCACCCAATCCCGAGCAGCCGTTGCAGGTGAAGACGCTGCCGGATATAACCAGCTCCAGCAACACTCTGGCAGCACCCGGTAACCTCATTAGCGCCGGAAGCACCGGACCCAAGGCCGCGGCCAATCGTAATCGCAAGCAACAGCAGCAACAGCAGCAGCAGCAGCAGCAGCAGCAACAACAACAACAGCAGCAGGCCGCCAGCAATCCTTCCCAGCAGCCAAACGATGTCTACCTCAGCCAGCAGCAGCAGCAGCTCCAGCTGCCGCAGCTGTCCTTCCAACAACAGCAACTGGCGACCACAGCAACTACCTCAATTACCACAGCGGCCTCCACTTCGGCTGCGGCGGCTGCAGCTGCGGCAGCGGCAGCGGCTGCCCTCATGGGCGACGGCGACCCGGAGTTGTCCAAGCTGCTGGACAGCTTCGTGGAGTACTTTCCGGATGATACGCCCATTGTGAACAGTGCCCCCTCGGAGGCCTCAGCAATTAGCGATATCCAAAAATCGCTGATGCTCGATGTCGAGTCGGCCGCCTTTGGCAACGATATGAGCCAGCACTTGATGATGAGCCAGCAGCAGGCGCAGCAGCAGCAGCAGCATCTCCAACAGCAACACCAGCAGCAACAGCACTTGGCCCTGCAACAGCAGACCCAGCAGCAGCATCTCCAACAGCAGCCGCCTGCATATCCGGGAATGCTTAGTCTGCAGCAGCAGCAACAGCAACACCAACAGCAACAACAGCAGCAGCACAATATGCGGATGCGGATGAGCCAGGTCAACCAGGGATTCCAGCGACCGCCACCGATGTATACAACACGTCCACGGGGGCCCATGAATGCGGTGGCCACACCCGGGGGAGTTGTGTTGCCGGCCCAGCAGCAGATACGCAATATGCGACAGCAGCAGCTGGCGGCGGCCCAGCAAAAGGAGCGACTGCTGCAGCAACAGCAGAAGCAGCAGCTGCTCGTCCCGGAGAATGCCAGTGAGTATTAGAAATTACCTTTCAATGGGGTTACACCTAAGCCATATACTTATCACTAACTTCCTATAGCTGGCATGAACGCGGGCCTGAACAACATTGGCTCGCTGCTCAATACAACAGTGGCTCCCAATGTGTCCCTATCTCGCACCAACCTCCCCTCGGACGCACAGCTCAGTCCTAACTTTGCTCAGACGCTGATGCAGCAGCAACTTAGTCCCGGTCGCAGCACGCCCTACAGTCCGCAGCCCAATCAAGGTGAGCTTTTGCTAGAGTGGATTCAGCCTTTAAATACTCACTTTCTTTCTTTCCCTTCGCAGGCTATGCCCCACAGTTCCCGCAGCCTGGACAGCGCTTGTCTCCGCAGCAGCAGCAGCAGCTGAATCAGCAGCAACAGCAGCAGCAGCAGAGCAATGCACAGCAGCAACAGCTAGCATACCAGCAGCAGCAGCAGCAGCAGCAGCAACAGGTTGGTGATGGCGGACGTTCTAATACGCCCTTCGGTTCCAACTCGGGAATGCAGTCGCCGGGCATGCAGAACAGTCCTCAGCAATGGGGAGCTGGCGGTGGTGGCGGCGGCGGTGTAGGAGGAGGCGGAGGACCCGGTGGCAATGCTGGAAGGTCGCTGCAACAGCACAATCCCATGCTTATTGCCCAGCTGCAGGTAAGTGTCTGAGATCTGGGTATATCCCATCAAAAGATGAACCAATTAACGCGTTCTCTATGGCCGCATTGCAGGGCGTGAGTCCGTATAATGCGCGTCAATACCAACAGAACCAGAGACGCGGCCTGAACTCCCCGGGAGCCGTTGGACCCGTTGGCGGCAATCCGGCGGCAGTAGCGGCGGCAGCCCTGCAGCGTCAAAACTCGTTCCAGGGGCAAGGCGGTGGTGGCGGGGCCACCACCCCAGATGGCTTTGGTGGTCCGCAGTCCCCGTATGGAGGCAACAACGTCAATGTGTTCCAGCAACAGCACTTGCAGAGACTGCAACGTCAGGGCAGCGTGCCACAGGCCACGCAACATCTGCCAGGTGAGGATTTACAGCACAACGTTAAGGAGTTTTTCTTAGGCTAAGAGAGCAGTAGGAAAAGTGCCTAGAAATGGAGTTTTATTATAGCTCAGCGATTGAAAGTGACTTCTAGGTATAGAAATCTCTTGGGATTCAACACAAACGCCCCTTAATCCACATACTAAACATTTAAAAACATAATAGACAGCTTTACATACACACCATAAATATACACTTTCTCGAACACACCACTCACACACACACAAACAGTTGTTGATCTGAACCTAGTTTTAATCAAAAGCCAACAAAAAAACCGCTTAACCAAAACAGGCTCGCCACGCTTTGGCTCCTCGCCGGGCATCAGCAGCAGCAGCGGCAACAGCAACACCGATAGCTCAGCTGCCGCAGGCAACCAGCAACAGCAACAGCAGCAGCAGCAGCAACATCAGCAGCAGCAGCAGCTGATGAACGGTCTGAGCATGTCGCCGCATCCGCATCCGCATCCGGCCTTGATGGGCGTGGGCGGCATGGGCAGTGGCGGCGGCAATGGCATCATTGGCCTTGGCGGCGGGGGCGGTGGCAACTACGGTGGCTACGGTCAGTCCCAGCAGCAGCCGCAGCAGCAGCAGCAGCAGCAGGCGAATGATTTCTTTGGTCGGGTGCAGACCGGTAAGCCCCTGCGCTCTTCTCTCTCTCTCTCTATCGCATCTCCACCTGAAAATCTCATCCAAGATCGCTGTATAAATGTCACCCTGCCTTGAAATCTGTGTGTAAATATAAATTAATGGCCACGCATCATCGTAAAGCAAACTCAAAGTTGTTGGGAGAGCATTATTTGTCTGTACCATAATTCACAAAAAAAAGAACAGAAATATCTACATTTAAGCTGGAAACCCACAAAACATCACACATGTCAACGAATCTAACCCACACACATAAGCCTATATATTATATATATCTGTACAATCATTGTATATAACCTGTATATGTATATTCCCGCCCCGTCCTCGTAAAGCTAAGGCAAGTCGGTTGAGCTGTACATACATTTAATTAATACATAGTTGCTGGCGCGTTGCACCCCAAAAAAAAGGAAGAAAAAAACATAATCCCGGAAACCCAATTTAGTTGTAAGAGGGGGAAACCCAGAAACCCAAAATTTCCAAAGATTACATTACCAAAAATTATATATATTCAAAAAATCCAAAAAGTAGAGCAAATTAAGAACTAGAACATTTCGAGCTGTAACATTAAATATTGGTTATATATTTGTAGGACAAAAGTTTATGTTTATTGATATATACCCCCACCATATCCCGATCCCGATTTTCTGTGTGCCAACTCAACCCTCTATGTTCCATGTATCGTATTCTGTTGTGTATGTTTTGTTTTTATGTCTAGAACTTTTGAAAACTGAAATGTGACTAAACCTTAGATTTAAGTTGTGTCTCTGTTTGGTGAATTTGTTCATGGTCGCCAATAATCGTTTCTTCAACTCTTTCAGCTGGCAATGGCGGTGGCGGAGTGACTGGAGGCAATGCCAACTCTGAGTTCGTCAAGCAGGAGCTGCGAGCGGTGGTCAGTGTGCGGGCCCAGCAGGCGGCTGCGGCAGCCACGGGCGGAGCCGGCGTTGGAGGCGGAGTGGTGCAGCGTGGACAGACGCCACAGAGTCCGCTGCAGCAGGGACCCGGGATCGGTGGTGGCGGAGTGGTTGGTGGTGTGGCCAACAGTACAAATGCCATGGGCAACATCACGCCCACGGGCAGCGGCAATGTCAGCAACTCCATGCTCAATACGCCGCCAGATCCAACGCTGGGCTTTAGCTTCGAGACGCGTAAGTATAATATAATAAATAGCTAAAACTATTAATTAATAATTCCCTGTTCCCTCCACAGCGGACTTCTTCACCAGCAGTGCTACGAGGTGACCCTAAGGTGCCTAATGCCAGACCCCCCAAGGGAGCAGCTGCATCTACCACGCATTTATGGCTCCAAGTAAGGCGACACAATAGAAAATCAAAGGATATATAAAGTGAGACAGAGTCTGCGAGAAGGCGAAGTATGTAAATGTAATTTAAAATATTAGCAGCACTATTTAACAAAAAATATATATATACCTAAATATATTTATTTTATAATACTAGCAAATATTAATTCTAAAGCAAAATGGGAACCTCGTATAAAAGAAAATTGCATAAAAATGATAGAAATACCAGACACACACACACGCTAAATAGTTAAATATTTTCAAAAATCTGAAAACGAAAAAAAAAAACAGATACAAAAAATGCATATTTATTACGTTTAAAGATAAAGATTAATTAACGCTAAGAGCTATATATACAAAAAAAGGAAAAACAAATAGGAATGAGAAACAAAGCAAAAAAACATAATTAGTTATGCGATAACTGCTGACCGTTTCGGGGTGTTGTTAAATTGATATATGTACATTTAAAAAATATATGTATATGTAATATTACTATTGTAAAACATATGGGAGCGGCAGCAGAGTTGGCTATTCTCTAGCGATAACATAATGTATACCATATTATTCGAGGGGATGAGAAAAATCATGTAAAACACAACAACAGCAGCGTATGGCAAATGTATATTTAAAATTAGTGTTGAATTTGTTTTTCAGTGTGATAATTTGTTAAATTTTATATACTAAATGTTGCTTATTTGTTGCGGCAAAGGCGCGATCTATGCTTTGCTATATGTTTATCTTCGAAAACATATTTGTATGCATTCTGGAACATTGATTGTTTTTATATTTTCACTTACCAATTGGACGCAAACATTTCTCTTCGACTAAGCTAAGTGCAACAGCAACAAACAAACAAACAATCCCTATAATGTACATAAACTTTCACTATTAATTAATTTTGCTTCTTAAAATGTAATTCGTAATTTAGTTAATGCTCGTTTTTAATTAAATATTGTAATTACTTTTTAATACTTTTTTATATCAAAGCGAGAAAGCAAAGCGCGCAAAGCAAAGTCGGCGTTGCAATTTCATGTGAAGGCTATTTTACAGGTTTTGTTTAAACTAATTTGTAATTTGTATCCATTTTTATTATTATTACATTATAACTATTATACACTAAATATAATAACACATTGGCATGCACACACACCCGTGTGTAATTTATAAAATGAAACGAAACACTTTCTAGGAACGCAAAAACGTTTCTCACGTTTTCTATTGTGTAATTTTTTATTGATTTTTGATTTTGTTTAAATCTTTTAAGTCTATTAAGTTGGGTTCAATCGTTAAAAATATTATTTTAAAGAAGAAACGATACAAATGCTATACAAATATAATTGATATAAATTTAGTTTATAATTTTATTAAATTACTGTTTAAACCGCAAAGCCCTAAATAAAAATTTACATACAATATATATTTAAAAATCTATTTGTTTTCTATTTTCTTTACATTTTCTACTGGTTTTCAATAGTACTGATAGAAGGCCCCCTTTAACAACAACGACATACCACACAAATAATTAATAATAATAAAACCAAATAAACAGAAAAGAAAGGCGATATTAACACTTGGGAAAATAGAAATACCTCTCGTTAAGTTCAAAAAGAAAGTATGATAAAAAAATACAAATTTATAAGGATAATATTATAACCGAATAATCCATAATTAAATTTAAAAATTAATGAACAGAAAATAAATGGAAATGGTTCTATGTACTAAGAGAACTATGGAAGAAATTAATTTTTAGACTCTGCTAGCTAAATTACAATTGTCACACATAAATATTAAGCTTAGGATTCAGTTTTAATTTAAGAGGCTTTATCTTGAAATTTCCAAGTAATACTTCATAAAAAATAACGATTTCCCATTAGTTTTTTTTTATACTGACAAGACCTCAAACCAGGAAAGTAAAAGTATGACAAATGAATATACACAAGTATACTGCATTTAGCGTTATATATACACCTTCATATAAAATAGTTTTAATGCAAGTTATTCATATATATATATACCTATACATAAATATATATATATATATTTATATGGGGTAAGGATATAGCAAATTTCACACACACAGCAACACAAAAAGTACATATAAAGTGCATTAATGAATTTAAGCATTCAAAGAAATTAATTAATTTATAAGCATAACGAAATATAGCCCATTATTTCGAGTATATATATATAAATATATATATTTAAAAGAAAAAAAAATATTTACAAAACGGTATAAACTTCTTGGATGAATTAAGGAAATAGCTTAACAAAACACACACACTTAACGCTAACACACTAACTCTATGCCACAGATATTTACGTAAATGAAATGCCGACTTAATTTTGATAAGATATACCTACTAAGGTGCATGTAAGATTCGGTAAGTTATTCTGTTAACACAACGCACTTTAAATATATAAATAAATTCATGCATCTATACATCTCTGTACATAAGCATTTAAGAATTAATGAATTAATTTACCAGCTCCCTCTCGGAGGTAAATTGGTTTCGTTGGGCACATCTGCTGAAACAAGTTGAACTTTTTTGTTTTCTGTGCACTTGTACAGTTTCATGGATGAGTTTAGTTTATATATTTGCAACCTAGTACCATAAAATTTGTACCAAATCACACACTGACGATTATAATAATACCTATTATAGCCGGAAAAACCAATATGTATAATGCAACGCCCTGTACCCGTGCATAAAGCCTACAAAGATTTGTTAAATTGAATATTACAAATACAAAATACTATTTACTAAATAAAACAATACAAAACGAGATGCCCTGAACCGCAATGAGTAGTGCCCAAAAATAATTAAAAAATAAAACAAATCAACATAACAAATGAAATATATTAACTAGCATTTAAAAGTTATAACGAATTCTAAAACAACAGCCTCAAAACAAATAGTTTTAAACGAAACCGAATAGCGAAAAAAATAGCACAATTTTGTATAAAAAACGAGTAGATATTTGTACGAAAGCTAAAAGAAAAAATAGAACCACAAATCAGAACCGAGAGCAATATATATAGCATACAAATCTCACCCAGAATATGAAACACTCAACTCTGACTACTCAATATTTTGTATTATTTCGTTTTCAGTTTGTACAGGAAATCGGAGGAAGAAAAGTCAGTTGGTTAGAAGAAGGAGCAAGGCATTGTTGATTGGCTGTGTTACACAAAACAAAAAACAAGAGTAAAGAAAAGTTAAAGTCCTGAAAAAGTGGGGAAAAATTTGAAAGATTAGCAGATGGTAGAGTTGGGAAGGATATGCATAGTTAGAGATGCGTTCAGGGAACGCTGTAAGGAACCGAATCTGATGTTTAATTCTAGGTTAGTTTGGGCATTGGGCTGGATTTTTTGGAGCAGGCAACTTCAGTTCAAATTGTCACATATGGATTTTATATGGTTTAGGCATTAAAACCCTTATTTTATGCATATTATTATACATTATAAAGCCACTTATATACATATGTATAACAAAAATGTCGTGATTTGGAGGGAAGACTGTACTGAAGTAAACTGAAAATTGTTTTTATTCGTGTTCTTAACAATTTCGATTATTGCTGTTCTTTTGGTTATTGCAATGATTAATTATTAATTCAGTTAAATATAGGAACTAACCATACCTATCCGAATACAGACCATGAGACCCAAAATGTATGAACCTAATGAATGTTACAAATCTGAGTGTTATGTTTGTTGTCACCTGTCACTGTTCGTTCACTGTCACTGTCACTGTTTACGTGTATCTGTATCGATTGATTGATTGATTGTCCCTGTCTGTCACATACATATGTTGTCTTTGTCTCTACGATCGTATTATATAATTCAGTAAAAACAAAAAACGAATGTATATTTTAAGTCTCCATATATGTACCTTTTTGCTATATATTGTATTTTTATGTAGCTGTAACTGTCACTTTATATATACGATACTACACGATCCCTCGACTCATATACATACACCTTTGCATTTTACATTTAACCAAGAAAACCAAGAACAAAATAAGAAAAGAATTAGTAAAAGCTACATTTCACACTAAAACACATTTAAGATTAAATGATAATTTATAAATTAAACTCTGTATATGTGTAAATGTAACTTTTGTGTAAGGATTCACATAAATGAATTTACATTTGAAGGAAAATACAAAATACTTTAGTTTAACTAAGTACTTAAAAAGCATAATTGAGGATTTTCACAAACACAAAAACACACACACTTGAACACAATAGCAAAATGTTAAAACAATTAAATTTAAAACGAATGGAGATGAAATTCTGTACGCTATTGTTTGTACTTAAAAATCGACATATATATATATATATATATATAAAAGTAATTAAATTTATTAATTAATTATACAAGAAAATGCAAGCGAACTGCAGCAAACAGCAACAAGAACAACAGACACGTTCACTTAATGTTTAACAACTGAACAAAAAAATTGAAAATGAGAAAATGAAAAAGACTAAATAAAATATTAACGAAATAAGCGTAATAATATTATGATGGATTTTGTTTCAGTTAGGGGGGATCGAAAAATCGTTTTGATTAGTGAAAGTATTTATAGTTTTCCCATTTTTGTGACCTTATCGATTATCATCTCTAAGTTGGTATTCAAGACCTTCACCTGGCTGAAGGTATTTTGGTCCATAGTCATCAGTGTGTCACTGTCCACCTGCTTCATTTTGTGAGGCTTCACCTTGATTATACCCTTCCTTGTGGGTATGTGCACATTGACACAGTGCTCCGGCTGCCTTAGCACAGCCAGGGGACTGCCCGCCGTTGAGAACACCTCTTCTCCGGCGCGTGGCCAGCGCAAGAAACTCAATTCAAGTCCAACCTTCTCCGACTTACTAACGGGAGGCTCGGGAACTAAAGAATTATTAACTGGAATCCATGTAATCTTAGTCACCTGTAAAAAGTATCTTACCAGAACACTTCATCTGCAGCACCTGCTTATTGGTATTGTTTCGAATGGACTTGATTTGGTGGCTTAATTCCTTTTGGTATCGCGTGTTTAATTTGTTGATCTCCACTTCAGGTGTGTTCGTTTTGATCTTCTTTTTAGGATCGAGATCCTGGCTTTGAGTTTGCTTAAGTATCTCGGTGCGTGGCATTTTTCTATAGTTTTGTTGCGTCTTTTAAGACTTTCACTACAAGTAACTCAGGGGCTACTATGATGTACACATACAAATACTTGTGACACTTTCGTGACTTACGTTTTTTATACCCTTGCAGGGTATTAAAAGTTCAGTCAGAAGTTTGCAACGCACTGAAGGAGGCACCTCCGACCATATAAAGTATATATATTCTTGATCAGGATCAACAGCCGAGTCGATCTAGCCATGTCCGTCTGTCCGTCTGTCCGTTTCTACGCAAACTAGTCTCTCAGTTTTGAAGCTATCTGAATAAACTTTGCAGTTCGCATTCTATATACTCTCACTCGTATATATGTCGGAAGACGACTATAGCATATAGGTGCCATAGGAATGATCGGATAATTTTTACAAACAAATTTTAACTTTTCAGTTTTCAACAGAATTGGATCAAATTTGAGATATAGCCATTTTACTATACTCTACAATTTTGTATAAAATTTTATGAAAATCGGACAACAATATCATATTGCTCCCAAAGGAACGATCGAGAAATTAAGACAATTAAAAATTATAACATTTTCAGTTTTCAAGAGATTTCCATCAAATTTGAGGTATAGCCATTTTAAATCAGTCTTAAATTTTGTGTAAAATTTTATGAAAATCGGACGACTATATCATATAGGTGCCATAAAAACGATCGTTAGATGTGGAGAAAAATGCACATCTGTGACTGTAAAACTGCAAACATAATATGTAAAGGTGAATGAAATGAAAGCAGGTATTACTTCATTGTTTTTTAACACAAATAAATATAATTTATATTGTTGGGATTCAAAGTCATAGAAGTTCTATCTGCAAGGGTATTAAACTTCGGCGTGCCCAAGTTAGCTTCCTTTCTTATTAATATATTAATATTATATAAAATAATATAATAATTATAATATTGTAATGGCAGTGAATAGCCCACCCTTCTCTTTCTGTATGCCTCTGTAAGCCTCTGCCTCTCGCTCTCTTTCTTACTCACAATAACATTTGGTATGTCTCTCCCTCTGTTGCAGCTCTGTTGCCTCCCTCTGTTGCAGCTCTGTTGCCTCCCTCTGTTGCAGCTCTAGAGATGGCGCTTACGCTCTATCTCTCTCTGTTGCAGCTACAGAGGTAGCTCTTTCCCTCTCGCTCTCTTTCTCTGTTATTATTGATCGGGAAGTATAAATAGAGGTTCTTTGATCGCCGCGACCTCAGTCTGTCCTAGGGGTACCTAGTGTTAACATCTTTAGTGATAGTGATAGTGATTACCCTTCGACCTGAAATACATGACGTGGCCAATAGAACACATCCAGATAACCGGAAGAGATCTTCGATGCCATGATAATTCTAATTGAAGTCACCACGATTATAAGTCGATACTGGAAGGAATTACATCTAAAGTGATAGTGAAAGAAGAACACTTCGATGAATCCATATTGTAAGATGATACTTAATTAACTCACCAGGAATATAACTTTACATCGGAAGGAATTAAGCAATGACGAAAGATGACGTGTCCTCTACTGGGGTAAGTCTTTATTTTGACAAATGTATCATTATTATATTTTAAACATTAAGAGAAGCTATATTAGTGATCAGGCCTAGGTCTAGAATAAGTTGTGCTAGCTATGAATTTATTATTTCATTAATTTCCTTTTTGCCATGGACCCATTACTTAATGCTGATCAAGAATTTATATGATTTATAGGGTCGGAAATGGCTCCTTCACTGATACAAATTATATTTTCCTCTGCAATCGATTTTGTGTAAAATTTTATGAAAATCGGACTACAATATCATATAGCTCCCATAGGAACGATCGAGAAATTAATACAATTAAAAATTATAACTTTTCCAGTTTTCAACAGATTTTTATCAAATTTGAGATATAGCCGATTCCTATTATTATACAACTTTGTGTAAAGTTATATGAAAATCGGACTACTAATTCATTTAACTGCCATAGGAACGGTCAAGAAATGAACGTTTCAGAAATAAAGTTTTAATTTTCAGCTGATTTTCACTAAATTTGAGATATAGCCATTTTATATCAGTCTTAAATTTTGTGTCATATACTGCAAATTTAATATGTATAGGTGAATGAAATGAAAGCAGGTATTACTTTTTTGTTTTTTAACATAAATATATGTAATTTTTATTGTATGGATTCCTAGTCATCGAAGTTCTATCTGCAAGTGTATATAAACTTCGGCGTGCCGAAGTTAGCTTTCTTTCTTGTTTTTTTTTTTTTTTTATGTCTTTCTGGCAACCTGTTTCATTGTAACATTTTATAAGTTTTAAAGTGCAATCTGCTTCTCGGAAACGACTAATATATACTTATCAATTTCGGTGTACGACCTCCGGCTTATCTCTATTCTTGGAACTTCGGTTTATAATCATTTTTAAAGAGCTTTACTAGAAGAAAACAAGTACTTATTTTTAAACGGACATAAATATATATAGGATTGCAAATGACTCCTTCACAGCGTTACAAGGTTCTGATGATCAATATGATACCAAAAACCACACCCTTCCCAATCCAATTTCCCGAAAATAAACAAAGAAATTGCTATTAATAAGTCTGGTGATTGATCTTTATTTTCAAGAAAAATGTATAACTATATACATATGTATATATGTTTCATTTATTCATATTTTTTTCCAGATACAAATAATCTTTATTAACTATCACAACTTATAATAACTTCGCTTAATATATTCGCATTCTTTGACCCGATATTATTACAATTTTTGTCGATAAATAAAACCTTAATAAAACACATAACTAAACCGAAAATGCATCTATTTCGATTTGGAAACTTCTATGATTTTTTATTTATTAGGTTAACAAATCTTCATACTCAATTCAGTTTTAAAGCTTCTGACTGAAATTATCATTAGGGTATAATGAGAGTAATATTAATTAATTGCCTTTTCGGTGTTTTGGTACGTAGTTGTTTCTTCTGGCCTAGTTTCAGCTGATGGATCATTTGTGCTGTCCTTCTCTTTAGCGTCTTCTCCTGCAGGCAGCACCTCATCGACATCCAATATCAATCCATCTATAGAATTTGAATGGGCTTTGATCTGGTCGTCAATCCAAGTGCGAAAATGTGCCACATCGGTGTACACAGCGGGGGTACTCTCCTCTCCACAGCCGATGCCCCAGTTCACGATGCCGGCCTGCTCGAAGCGCGTGGGATCCTTTTGGAGCGGACAGGCGAGTGGGGAACCACCGTCTCCCTTGCACGAGTCCTTGCCCCCCTCGCCGCCAGCACACAACAGGCTGTTATGGAGCCTAAAGGATGAGCCCTGATGGCGACGCAATTGTGCCTGACAGGTGCGGGAGTTGACTATTGGTAGATCCACCTTCTTCATGATGTTCATGTACGCGTTCTGCTCGATGGCATCCTGGCCCCAGCCGCTGATGATACACCGTCTACTGTCGAAGTTTTGATTTCTCGACGGCAGGCAAATGGGGCGAATGTGGGGCAAGGCATCGAACTGTCGGTCGAGAAACAACAGGGCCAGATTGTTGGCCCCTGTTTTCCAATCGAACGAGGGATGACGCAGGATCATCTGGACTCCTGCTTCCACATGGGTAAACTTCTCAGTATCGGCGAGAGGTTCCAATCACCTGCCCGCACTATAAGGTCGCTACTTTCGAAGCCTTCGGTCACATGGCTAGCGGTGAGCACCACATCCGAGGCGACCAAGGAGCCACCGCCCAAATACGAAGCGTTTATGTGCAGCAGGGCCGTCATCCAGGGTAACTCATTTCCTGAGCCAAGCCATCAGCGGACCGCATCGAGAAGGTTTGACCATTTGTGTTAACTTGGCCGCAGTCGGTTTGTTTTGATGGGTTATTATTATTTCCCTGCAACTATGAAGGCATAAGTTTTAATAAGTTTTATATTTATTTATCTAAAAATTACTATTCTTCTGGCTTTGCAGCACACCTCCGTGGAGGCGCATCCCTGTTGTCCTGTCTGCCACTTGTCTTTGCACAGATGACGAGAGATGCACTGTGTCCTCGGATTATTGCTGCACACTCTGTTAGCCTGGACCAAGGAAAGAGCCAGGCACAAGAACGAAACAATTGCCGTCAGACGAGGCATGCTTCTTAATATTAATAAAACAACTGGCATCTACAATCCATCGGAACATATACATATTCTCATCTTAGAATGATTTTCTCTCTCGGTGATAAGAAAAGAATTCTTGCTGTGGGATCAAACACAATTGAACTTTGGCTTTCGGAAGCTCTTGTCTTATTTGAATGATTTGATTGCTGCTTTTAATTAATTAATATTGGTACCCTTATAATTCGTAAGCACTTGTTTTATTTTTATAATTCAAATATAGAATATTGAAATATAAAACAAATTTATATTTTACAAACAAATTTAATATAATATATGTATATGTTTTAAAGAATCTTAGTGTCTTCAAACTTATTTTATTCCACACAAGTTTCTACGCAACTTTGCAATGTACCAAAAATATTGGCATTACCACCGCAGCCTCCGTAGGTAAATTGGACGCATTCATTTTGGGCCGAGTTATACGACCAAGTTGGTAAAAGAGCTAGCAAGGACCCGGGTTGTAGGAACTAGGCAGGCCGCAGATTGCTATAAATAAACCAAATATTGATTTAGTTTAGGGTATAACAATAAGTATAGAGGATCACATACCATGTTTTAGAGCCATCGAACTTGCCACAAAAGCGGCAAACACAACAAGGATGATAAGCAGCTTCATTGTTATTTATATATTTTAGAACTTATACTCGTGAAAGTAACTGAAATGGAAATGAAACTAAAGCTACATCGGCTTGTGCAATTTATACCACTGTAGAGCTTATTTGCTTATCTTTACCTTTTTCCCAGATAGAGATTACTCTGTACAGTCAGTATTTGCCTTTTAACCTGACCCGTAACCCTTCTATAAAGACTTTCTGATGCTGATAATTATAATCTAATTTACTTAAAGGTGCAAGCTGTTGCATTGCTTCTGGAAAACCAATTTCAAAATAATAACG